TGGATGGGTGGAACCGAGATCCGACCGGCCCAGTGCCAGCTCAGATTGGCGAAGCGTGCAAGTACAAGGAAAACCCAGATATGACGGGGACGGCCCTACTCCGCACCACGTCACCGATCCGCGAGACGTCAATTCGCGGCACTCGTCATGCTTCGATCCTGACCGTCTCCTGACATCCGGACCGTCCATGGGCTCTCCCGAACGAGCACATCACCCGTCTTCCTTTCCTTTTCCCATCTCTTATCACCGTCTTCCCTTTTATTTCTTTTATTTTCAGCCAATTTTTTTAATCTTTTCTGTTCTTTCCCTTCTCTTTCTCCTCCATTAAAAGCCCTCTCGATCCTGCAACCGATATCCCCAATCAGCAACCTATTCCCCAACCCCAAATCCTCCAGCTGAAATCACACTCTCCATGGCTGCTACCGATGAGGAAGCTAGCAAAACATACCCTGAGGTGTGTTGAGATCTTTCCTTTCTCTCTCTCTCTCTCAAGATGGTGTCCTTATCATGAATCTTGAGTTGATGTGTTGGTTTGTGTGCGAGCTGCAGATGATAACGGAGGCGATCGAGGCGTTGAACGACAAGAACGGGTCGAACAAGTCGGCCATCTCGAAGTACATGGAGTCAAAGTACGGGGAGCTGCCGCCGGCCCACTCGTCGCTGCTCACGGCGCACCTGGCCCGCATGAAGGAGAGCGGAGAGCTACTGTTCGTCAAGAACAACTACATCAGGCCCGGTGCCGACGCGCCCCCGAAGCGTGGCCGCGGCCGGCCGCCGAAGCCTAAGCCGGCGCTGCCACCCGTCGCCGACCTCCCCTCGCCCCGACCCCGCGGGCGGCCCCCCAAGCCTAAAGATCCCCTCGCCGCGGCCGTCGCCAAGGCCACGGCCGGGCTCCCCCGGCCCCGCGGCCGGCCGCCGAAGGTTGCACGGCCTGCTGTGTCAGTGACTGCCGCTCCTGCTGCCGCCGCCGCTGCAGCCGGTGGTGTAGTCAAGAGAGGCCGGGGTCGGCCGCCCAAGGTGAAGCCTTCGCTAGTGACGGAGGCGGCATGAGCGGAGCAAACCGGGGAGGTCAACTTCTAATGCTGATATCTAAACTTATTGCCGTTCTTCTTTGTTGTTTCTTGTCTTAATTGTTGTGAGTAATTTAGAGATGGAGCCTGTCGGGGTGGTGGTGCTTGGAATCTGCGTGTACATTATGCTGAGATGTCTTAGTCGACTGTGCTACCGAAAATGACTGACTAAAACTGATGATTGTGGTGCATCTTTCAGATCTCTACTGTTTCTATCTTTCCTGGGAGTTCTTTACTTTCTAATATTTTTACTTCTCCTGTTACTGTGACAGTGTTTGTGTTTGAATTAGGAAATTACTGTGAATTTGAGATGGATTGCCTTTTGTGATGCTTAGTGTGTACATCTCTATTGGGGATGGAATGTGGTAGCATTGTGGTGCATAACCTTGCTTATAAGTTGTCTGTATTTTGCCTTGACTAGCATCTTTTGCTGCTCTGTGCATGATGAATCTGTTCCCTGGAAAAACTACTGGAAATGCATGAATCTGGTGTCTGGAAAATGTGGTGAAAGGTATATCTGATTACAAATCGAGCAAGTGAATTCACTGTTGTAATGCTTTTAAGGCCCTAATTGTATGTTAAATTATTTTTAAGAAAATAAGCTTTAGGCATATCCACTATGAGTAGAATTGCTCTTGTTCTATTTGAGCTTTCTTTCAACAGTGTGATGTTGGTGTATTATTTGTTCATGCTCAGTTGGGGAAGAACTTCTCTGTCTATCAGAACAAGCATATTCCACCCTACAGAAGGGATTATATGCAAGAATTTTGGTGCTTTAAAATGAAAAAGAGTTGTATATCCTGTTACTGCTGCTACTGGTGAGGTTAAGAGAGGATGACATTGGCCTCCCAAGGTGAAGTCTGTTGTAGCCAGAGATGTGGCCTGGCAGGGAGAAAGGTAAGGGAGCTGTGTCTTGTGGGGAAGAGAGGCCAACTGATAGTGCTGATCTCTGAGCTTACTGTTATCTCTTATTTCATGATTCTTGTCTTAATTGTTGTGCATAATATGGAGATGTGGCCTGTTTGAGTGTTGGTGCTTGCAATATACAAGTACATTATTGTGAGATGTCTTATTTGATTACATTATTGGAATAATTGATGGTTGTGGTTCCTAATGTTTTTTGTGAGAGCTTGACTTATTTGTTCTTTTCCTTGGACTGTCATATGCCTAATGTTGAGGTGGGGAATAATTGTGAGTTTAATTTGATGTTTAATTGTGATGCTTAGCATGTGCATGTATGCTGGCACTGGAATAATTGTCCTTAGCTATTGCTTTAAGTGTTGAGATGATGATGATTGTGAGCATGAATCTGTGCAGTGGAAAAAAAGTAGTGGAGGGTTTGATCTCCATTACAAAATGAACAAAAGTAATAACTACTTTCAGAAAGATGCTCATGTTCTATCCACATTCTTTTGGTCATCTCAATCACTGAATCAGACCACAACAGATCTGAAACACTGACAAAAGGTTGGATTCTTTTGTGCTGATTCAGTATAAAGTGGTTAGTGATGCTTGGGTGGATTGTTTGCCCCCTTTTGGTCATCTAAATTACTGCTTGAGGCCATAATAATAGATCTGAGACAGCAAATGCAGATGTATGATTATATTGTACTGAGTTTAATGTGATTAGTGCAGCTTTGGGTTGATCATCCAACCTGTCTATTATGACAAGCATGTCCCTTGATGCAGAATTCAAGTACAAGTGTATCTTTATATTAAAAAAAATATATAGTGACATTCAACACTATCGGTTGTACTAATAAAAATAAAAAAATATTTTTAATGTTTCAGTTGATGATGATAGACGTCGTCGATGGTGACAAATGATGGTGTCGTTGGGGGTTACGGGTGATTGTTATGGACGAGGAGAGCGACGATAAAAGGTGAGGGTCATTATGTAATTATGTCGATATTAATGTAGATGCAAGGCGATGAAAATGTCATTTGATAATTACATCAACGTCGACGTAAATACATAGCGATTGTTATCTTTCGTCGGTATTTTTTTTATCCACAATAGTCACTCACAGTCTTTAGCTATGTTGTCGTTTGCTACTATCAATCGAAATATTAAAATTATTATTATTCTTTGTTTTAATATTTTAGTTGTTAAAACCAATAATGTTTTAGTAAATAGACTTAGATGTTTCATTTTTTTAATTATAGAGATGTCAATATAATTTTTTAAAATATAGGTATAAGAATGTTATGAATAACTAATTTATAATTAATTTAAAATTTTAGATGATGTTTGTTTGATGTTCCAATCTTGAGATTAGTGATACCCTTTTGTTCTCTTTGCTTGTTAAAGTATTTGGTTCTTTGGACTTGCAGTTAAACAACTCTCTTGTCCATTCATTTATATTTATTTACTTGCCATCATGAAAACTTTCATGTCAACATATGTTTGTAATCGTCTCTGCTACAAACAATTGTAGCCGAGAATAATATGTTTGTAAAATTGCTCAAGTAAGACATGTCAGTCACATAAGCATCTATCATAATAGAAAATATTATTCGAATTTATAATGATTTTAGAAATATTTTCTTAATCAATATAAATTATATTGATTCATTTAATATAAATTATAAATAGAAGGTTCCTCGACTACGATATATGTTCTGATCTTGTACTCTCCACATCGATAACTTCATTGATTTAAGCGACAGACATAAAAATAATATTCGATTAATCATGCTTTACGTGAAGTAGTTTACTTGAGAATTGAATTCGGCTGTAAATTTATCCTTGAGTTCTTTTATCATGATGTTTGCATCTATTACTTTTTCTTTTTCTTATTTTGGTTAAGCATCGACAAATTAATTATAATTAATCGATGAAAAGAGCCTACTAAGAGAGGCTACACACACAAAATGTCTTCATCGTTTTCGCTTTCGATAGGTTTTAACATTGTCATCGTTATCCCCATAGTTGAAAAAATAGACAACGATGGAAAAAAAAGCTAAAGGACACTAATTATTAAAAAAATCCAAAAAAAAGGACTTTTGCTTGGAAATCACCCCCACAGTTGTTAATTAGGTTGAAAGTGATGTTGTATGCATCATTATATTGCTAGGTTTAACGAAGTGTTTTGCAAAGGGTGACCGCCCTTTCAATGATAAGACCAAGACATAAAAGAACGTCTTGGTTTGAGAACTAATTGCCATCGAAAACAACAAATCAAGGGAGGACTTTATGTGCCGTCCCAATCCTATAATATTCCCAGCTTCATCTCATGCATTGAAACTTCAGCTTGACGTTGATAACGTTGATAGAGTCGGTAGTGGTTCTTCCAATCGAATCCACTTCTTTTGACTCTCTCTCTCTCTCGCCCTTTGAAATTGCATGCACCGCAAGTTTGATGGACTCAACTCAATCCGTCATCGCATGCGTCATATTAGTCAATTTGATTTTTTTGGGTCTCTCTCATGTCTTCTTCATCTCCTTAAATCAAGTTCAGATATTTTTAATCGATTGAATCGGATTTGATGTAATAAAATATATCAAGTTTCCAATTGGAATAGATTCTCTCTCAATTTTTAAATTAAATATATATATTTTTTATCTTATATGAAATGATGTACTAAGTTTTCGTTAAAGATTTATCCAAATCGAATCCAATTGATCGAATTGTAAACCTAATAAATTTTTAGAAAATATGATTTTAAAAATACATATTACCTTAAAAATATAAAAAAAACATATAATAATTTTTTAAAAAAATTACAAAAGAGGACGATAAGAGAATGAGAGAAATGAATATAATATTTACTTATTAAAAATAAAAATATTTTTTTTATTATAATTATTTTTATAAATTTGAGAATACTTCTTCAACCTATTGAAAATTCAAACGATCTGATTAATTTATTTCTATTAAAGCATTGGCGAAGGCTTGCACTCCCACCTTTATATAAGCCTCTCTCACCACCATTCCGGCAGGGGAGTTCGCAACCATGGACGCCGATGCCGAAGTCGTGCTCCATGCGCCACCCTTCGTCCGCATCTTCAAGAGCGGCCGCGTCGAACGCCTCCTCGGCAACGAAGTACTCCCCGCAGGGCTCGACCCCGCCACCGGCGTAGTCTCCAAGGACGTCCTCATCGACCCGGCCACCAACCTGGTGGCCCGCCTCTACCTCCCGGACCTCGCCGGTAGCCCACCGGACAGGAAACTCCCAGTCCTTGTCTACTACCATGGCGGCGGCTTCGTCATCGAGACCGCCTTCTCCCCGACGTACCACAACTACCTTAACTCCCTCGTGGCCGCGGCCGGCGTGGTGGCCGTGTCCGTGGACTACCGCCGCGCGCCGGAGCACCCTCTCCCGGCCGCGTACGACGACTCGTGGGCGGCACTCCAGTGGGTTGCGTCGCGGCCTCCGGCGGAGGAGTGGCTCGCGGAGCGCGGGGACCTGGGGCGGGTGTTCCTGGCAGGGGACAGCGCGGGCGCCAACATCGTGCATCAGGTGGCGCTGCGGGTGGCAGCGGAGGGGTTGGGCGGTGCAGCCACGATCAAGGGGCTGCTGCTGATCCACCCGTACTTCTGGGGGGCGGAGCCGCTGGGGTCGGAAAGCCGGGATCCAGAGACGAGGGCGGGGCCGGAGAAAATCTGGACGTTGGTGTGCCCGGGAACGGTGGGGCCGGACGACCCGCGGCTGAACCCGCTGGCGGAGGGGGCAACGAGCATGGCGGGGCTGCCGTGCCGGCGGGTGCTGGTGATGGTGGCGGAGGAGGACATACTGCGGGAGAGGGGGCGGGCGTACTACGAGGCGCTGGAGCGGAGCGGGTGGGAAGGGGAGGCGCGGCTGATGGAGGCGGAGGGGGAGCAGCATGTGTTCCATTTCCGTGATCCCAAGAGCGCGAAAGCGGTGAGCATGATGCAGACCGTGGTTTCTTTCCTCACTTCCGATTGATCGGAACCGTGAGTTCAGAAATGGACGGACGGATGACAGCCCACCTCGAGCCATCAATAAACCGTGCTTCCAACGGTTCTAGACATCATAAAATCGAATGCCGTGGATCTTCTTGCGTTTGATACTTTAGACCAGTCGATCAATAATATAACTCCTGAGGTTGAAATGTTTGACCCAATCATAGTTTTGATCCATCGATCCGATCGACGGGGAAAATTCCACAATCGCCACGAATCTCAAAGTGATATCATCAGACATGAAGATGTCCCCCCACCTTTTCTCGATCCATCTGTGAGATCGTATTGAGTCACCATCGGCGGTCACGAGAAATAACACTAATCAACTCGAGAAATTACTCGGTTGGTTAGAGTGTCATCTTCACGGGAAGCATTCGACACTCTTTATTCCGGCCGGCCGGCCAGCCAGCTGAATGACAATCTAAAAACATTTCTTTTGCTCATGCAGCTGAATGACATAATTCATAAACAGACTGTCTATGATTTGGTTCCACCACCAAAATATAGGATGAATTATCAAGCAAAAACTTGTTTTGATGGCAAGAAATAGGAGTGCAATTAATAACACAGACAAGATGCACAAGCATACAGTTGTTTATTTCATGAAAAAGATACAGCAAAACTCTAAGAAAAAGTAAGAATCTATGAACCTGTAATGACTTTGGTAATGGTGGTCTGGAACAAAGCAACCGAATCAACAGCAGACTTGGCAAGCCAACTCATGCCTACCTTCAGCCGGTGTTCATCGGTGGGCAATCTGAACAAGTATGCTATCTTCCTTGCTGCAATGTAAAAGCCACATGAAGACCGAATTGGATTCACTGATCATGCAACGAGCAAAGAAGCAGGTCAGCATGAACACATACCAGCATGCCCAACGGGACCCTCCAAGGTGAGTCCGTCGATGAAATTGGGTGTGATGGCAGCATCACTCAATCCAAGAGTCATCATCTCACCAAGATTTTGGAACCTAAGATGAAAATTTGCATGAACCATGTAAATCCTTTGGACCATGAATCTTCTATCAGTCCCAGTATAATTTTATTAAAACTGATCCAACAAATCAGAACAAAGGCCGGATTCAGCTACCAGAAAAGGGGAAAGCTTTAAACCACTAACTAATCATATGCTTTGCTGAGAACAAAACAATCATTTACGCCCTTTGTTTTAGCAAGAACAAAACTAACTCAACGTATTCATTTTCATGACAGATGAAACATTAAGTGCTATCTTGAGCTGAAAGTTGCATTCAACGGAACTACTATCTTCTACATTGCAAATCACTTTTTGTTAGAGCTAATTGAAAGGTAACATCAATACGGACAAATGTTTCTGATCTGAAAGTTTGAAAAGTCCATATTTGTTGAATAGCACTAGGCTTGCCTATTACACGTTACATAACAGAAGCTAAAATAGGAGGTGATTCTTTGCATATTTAACCTGAAAATGGATTAAGTTCTATTCATCAGAGTTTCGGAGCTTAAATAGCTAATCATCAAAAACAAGTTTGTATTGTACTGTTGTGATCCCTTTTACAATATCAACCATGCTTTGACAGCAAAGAAAGACCTAACAGTTACTAACCTGAAGGGTAATAGAGGTCGGTCATTGATCGCCGCCCAAAGATTCCAACCAGCAAAGTCTGCTTGCTGAAAAGCAACCTAAGAATCAATTGCAGCAAGTGTTGTTAGCTCATGGATTAGTATACATGATGCATGCAAACAATAAATGGGTGTACTTGTGCAGTTGCAGGGAGTATCCTGCCAGAGGAATCTCTCAGAGCTGATGAATCACCAATTGCAAATATTCTTGGATGTCCTCTTACGCGGAGAGTTTCATCTGTCTCAGCTTGTCCTCTACCATTCAGTGGAATCATGTTATAATAATCTGATGGATCCACCTGAGGAATCAGAGGCTTAGATCCTACTGTCCATAACACCAAATCAGCTTCAAGAACTTGACTCTGAAGGCCCCTTTGTGCAGGTTGAAGTTCCAAAATAAATTTCTTTCCACAGGTTGCAGTATCAGTACCCATTTCTTCTTCAATCCCAATCACCTTGGCCAAATCTTCAGAATCTGAAATCTTCTTTATGCAGCTGACGAAATATCCCAAGAACAGCTGAACGTTCCGAGATTGAAGAACCTGATCAAATAGACAGATGTTACAAGAGGTTATTGTACAATCGTGCATTTGCATTTGTTTATATTAACTATCATTCAATTGCAACATTTAAAAGAACAGTATGCACACAGTCATTGTTCTTTTATGTAGACCTACAAGTATCACGGTACTCCCTTTAAGTAAAGTTGATAGATGATGTGTATGCTCACAATTATCTCGTAGAAAGGATTTTATGTTTTCCAATTTTCACATTATAATTGCCTTACAACCAAATTTTACATCACATACATGCAACTACAATGAAATTTTAACCCTCTAGATAATCCTCTCATGTTATATTTCGAATCTTGATGCCCACTATAGAAATGCATGGAAAGAGAAGGAAATAAATAAATACATAGTCAAGTTTCCAATTAATTCATATGGAATAAAAACAACCATTAGATGAATGCCAACATAGTGTGATATTATTGTGAATTGCAACATCAGTAAGGACTTCCCTAGCATTTTAGAAGGTAGTGGATTACAGTAATTTAAGATAGTTTTGATTGTATGGACTTTAGTACTTTATAGTGACCCTTAAGCTTCCAATTCTAACCACTTTAGTGTGTTCCACACTTTTAAGCTTAACAGCATGATAAATGGCAGGTAAATCTAGCCAATAACCTGAAAACTGAGTGGAAGCAGAATATGGTACCCCCCCAAAAAAAAAACTTACAATAACATAAGTGAGATACAAAAGATAAAAAGTTAAAGAAGAATTCTTACTTTAAGTGCAGCCTCTCTATTTCCAGATGGGGCATTAGGACATATAGTAGTTTCAACATTGATTGCTTGAACTATCCCATTATTCTGTAATCTTTCAGAGATAGTAGCAGCCAACTCCACCCCTGAGTAGCCACAGCCAACAATAGCCACACGAATGGGAGAGGAATCCTTTCCGAACCTCTCTCTCTCCAAAACCTTCAATTTTTTGTCGACTCTCTGCACCATTGCAAGAGAAGAATTTACAAAACAGTGACGGACGCAAACATTGAAGACTATAGATGTGTACATATATACATTTACACCACGAGCAGACGGTTTCTGATGCATTGGCAGATAAAAATACCTTTAAGTCACGTATGTTTTCACATTATATATGCAAAGAAGTCATACTATCAGCAGTTCTTATGAAATTTGATGAGTTTGATTTGGGACATCGGAAAATTATTGTTGTCTATATCCCAGTCAAGCAGAATTTAGCTGCTACAATTGGGGGATGCAATCAAAACAAATTCTTGGAATCTTCTTAGAAAAAGCTTGTTCTTGCTAACATAAGAAAGGCCCAAAAATAATCTACTATAATTAAAGAATGCATTACAGAAAAATCATCTAGAGAAAGTGACCAAAATAGGGAAAGCCATATATAATAAATTAAGAGGCATGAATACTCTGGATACTTACACAAGCATCCTCCAAGGTTGAGAAAGGCAAGGCATATTCAGCAGATCCAGGAACGACATCCAGTTTAGCTTCAGCTCCTAAAGCTAGGACCAGCCTGGGCTGCCCAGTTGTAGGAAATGCAAAATCAGCAACATAGGATAGATAGGGTGACATACGCAAAAACAGAGAAAAGGAATGCCACATCAGTGGATCATTTAAAGTGACAAATAAACTATAGTCAACAATCGCAATTAGAGAGAATATCCAAATAAACTGGTACAGATGTCAGTTTTTACTTATCTCAAAAGAATAACACCTGCATATGGATGCTTCTCATATTATTCTTGTTATAAAATTCCCCAATTATATTCTACCGTCGACGTTGAATTATCACAGTTTGCTAGACAGAGTAGTTTTGTGATACTTGGTGCATTAAAGTTTTAAAGAAACAAATACAGAATCACATATTAACAAGATTAAATTTGGTTAATAAGATATTCAAAACTTGTTGATGATCAGTGATGTATGAGCAAAGAAAAGAATTTAATATCAAATAAGCATCTAGAGTGGGCTAAAAGGGTAGCTGAAAGAATTTAAAAAAGATTAATATTTCTCTTATTTTGTTTGATAGGAAAGAAAATCTATGATAAAACAAGTTTTGCAGGCATTGAAATAACTTTATCAATCATATTCTATGATGATTCCACTTTCAAGAACAGTTCCTCCAGAGCATGTACCAATCATATTCTATGATAAAACAAGTTTTGCAGGAAATGAAATAACTTTACCAATCATATTCTATGATGATTCCACTTTCAAGATGAACAGTTCCTCCAGAGCATGTACTTCCAGGTTCCTTTGTTAAGTGATCAGAAGGGTCTAAAAGCTTTACTCTATCCTTGATAAATTCAATGTTTGTGTTCTTCAGCAAGTCTGTAAAGAAAGGTGCTACTTCCCATGCATCTACTTCTGCCATGTAGTAAACACTACATAAGAAATTATAGACACTGAAAGAATAATATTATATATAATATAAAATTTAAAAAGTGTCATCTAGATCAAACTTCTCATACCTCCTGACAGTAGTTCATACAGCATCGGTTTGAAAACAAATCGATCAGACTGATCAACGAGAACAACCTGTAACATTTTGGTTATGAGCTACAATATCAAAGTATAGAACATTAACAATAAGGACAAACCAACAGATGCCAAAAGTAAGATTGAAATGGAACAAACTATGAGCTAGAAGGAGGCCTAAGAACATTTTCATTACCGGGCTGGTCTACAAGAAGAACCTGTAACAATTTTGTTAAGAGATAGAATATCAGAAGAATACAGAACATTAGCATTACAACATCAGATGCCAAAAATAAGATTAAAATGGAACAAACTTTGAGCTATAAGGAGGGCTGGTAAAAGATGATGCAAGAAAATAAAAGGAAAGGAGTAGTTGCATGATCTGCTATGAGAGTATGCAATATTAAATCTTCAACGTCGAGATGGATAGGATAACACCAAAAATACAAAAAAGGAATTATTCATACAAATTTGCTAGGAAAAAAAATAAAACCTAAAGAAGAAAGATAGTTAGATTTCTTAAATAATTGATCTGCCAACCTATTCTGTCTTCCACGAGAATGAAAGTGGAGCCGAACTTTCCTATACGAAGAACAAAAAGAAGGGAAAGACAATAAAAAGAAAGAGATAACAAAGTTGTGTCCTATGTGTCCATATTGGAATACTCTTGACATTCTAATTTGGAACAATAAGTCCTGCCCTACCAGTACCGTTGATATGAAATATATTTGATGCAACAATAACAACAAAGCCATAAGTCCCAACGACTTTGGGTTGGCTACATAGATCTTTTGTCGACATTAAGATCTGTAAAAAGCCACATGTTTAATTACGTTCAGAGTACTTCAATCTTTATTTATAATTTCTATTAAAGTTTAAGAGCTGAATCATCTTAAGTCTTAAGCATAACAATCAAGTCAAAATATTATGACCAAACCAAAATTGTATATAGCTATGCTAGCAATAGGTTCATGCTATTGCACATGATGCAATAGATGGGATTAGATTCACTCTCTAAAAATTGTGCCTCTTCCTGGGAAAGGACACCAGCTGTGTTTCAAAGAAAGAAACCCACAGCCATCTTAAGAATATGCAGACTCTAATCGAAGTGTGTAACAGAGTCACAAAGTAATGCATCTTTGATATGGAAAAAGACCAAAGATCTGATAAGAGTCCCAAAGTCTTCATGTGATGAACAGTTCTGATGGCATTTAGAAATGACATCCTCAGCATGCATTGGCTTCAAGGGTAGTTAAAGGTGCAGCATATAGAGATAATCATCATGAATGTGTTCGGTAAGAATCATTCATAACTACTGCAAATACATAAAACTCAAACCTAAGTAGCAAATCACATCATTTTATCTTTACGTATTTTGTTAAACACACTAACATTACAGTCATTGGATTTGAACTAAAGTAGTAACTTTCTTCAAATACATGTAAAAGTTAGAAAGCACAGGTAACCACTGTGAGACACCAGTAGTAAATTAGGCATTATAAAGGAATAACTATCTATTTACCTGAGGCTTCTTGTCATCAGTCCACACAAGAGATTCCAACCTTAGAGCTGTGTATAAGCCCCCAAATCCACCACCTAAGATACAAATTCTTGGCCTCTAGAAGATAAAAGTATATCAAATCATTGGTCAAAGTGAAAAATATATAAATTAAGAGAACATTATAGATTGGGACATGTATCAGAATTAGTATGAACTCATCCATCATCACTTACAAACTCCAAAATGCCAAGGTTTAAGCATCTATCTTTTCACATTGCATTCATCATATTCATAATTTGTATCAAATATATTAGTTGCAATGCCTTTATCATCAATATGAACTGTGACCTTCAAAATTACATGAGCATTTAATATTATATGATTAAACATAGAAACAGGAGACAATAAAATAGAAATGGTTAATTTAGCATCAAACATGACCAAAGATAACCATAAAAAGAAATGATCCTTGATCATAGAAATAGTAGTTGTGAGGGTCATAAGACCAACATAAATAAGATACCCTTCACGAAGACAAAATTAACATACTCAAACATCATGATTGTAGATCACTTAAGTCATAAAAAGCAAAACAGGAAAGGTTAAGAATGGGAAAAAAAAAGGTAGGCCACATAATACACAAGAATAGAGAGCCTGATGGTTGGCAAGTGACAATGGAATATTCGATAAATAAGAAAAAATTAGCTAACCAACAACATTATCCAGACTCCTGTCTTCAGAGTTCAGATCATTGTGAAAAAAAGATAACACTCTCCATTAACCACAATATATAACTAAGAAAGTCAGAGAAGCAATACTAATCAAGTTGATTCCCCAAAACGGATGCAAAGGACTCGAACTGAACACAAAGTGTGTAACGGCATTGGATCAATCATTAGGTACCAAGTAAAATAGGTACCAAAGTACAGAGACAAAATGCTTAAGTCTATGAAATGATAGGGTCATGTCAAATTCCTGGTGTCTTGTAGTGTGAGAGTTTTCTTGCTCTTACTTCACTATGTTAATGAAAAAGTACATAAAACGTAACAGAACTCCTAAAACAGGAAATGAATTCTGAACCCGATAATTCAACATCATCACGAAACATGTGTCTAAGGACCTAAAGTCATTCCGTGCTTTCAAAAGTTATGATACTTTACTCCATCAATTTTGACTGACCTGTTTGTCTGACCATGCATACGATGTAATTGCTGTTTCACCTCCTGACGAGTGTCCGATAAATTTGTCTCCACTAGTCCTGCCCGACAAAGTACCGCTGAAGTGCCCCAACTGAGGCCCCATGAAGATTGCCAAAGTGCCAGCATATCTTCTTGAACAATTTACTAGTCTCCCCACATGGCTCCTCAACCCTGCAATTGTTTAGAAGAAGTGCCTTCATGAGCCACAAAGAGAGGCAAAACATGTGCTTCATTTTCTCCAGCATGAATTTCAACTTTGCATGATCGATATATGGGATATTCAAGATAGAACAATGTATTCGAGTCGATAGCATGTTTAAACCAATTATTAAGACAAGCATCTACCACACAGTATGTAGAATGACGAGCTATAATGGCATTATAGCCTCTAAAAAACAAGTCCAGAAAAAAACTTTTGGGCGGACGCGAAAACATGAGATAGCACACCAACGTGTCAATAGGTAATTGAGCATAAGTTGAAGTAAACAACCACACAATTGCCTCCAAAACTATACCAACATTGACATCTCATACTTTGATATACTCCGACAAACAAAGCATGAAACTTATCCAGAAACATGGAGAATCAAGAAACCACGGTTTGATAGAAAACTAGCGATTGTGAATTTGTGATCAAAATAGTACCATTGGAGGGTCTTGAGCAATCCGGGTTGCTAGAAAGCCGAACACTTGGTCGGGGCGCGGCCATGGACGGACCCCCGACGAAGACCGCGCAGTGACAGCCGACAGAGTGGTTCATCGCGGTGGCGGACGGCGGAGATCGCCGGGTGGGGTGAAGGGCGAAACCCTAACGGGGTCGGTGACGAAGGCAGGAAAGCAGAGAGTCGATGGCGTGGGTTCCTTTTAGCCCGTGCTCGGAGAGAGGCATATCGACATTAGGGATGTGTCCGCTTCGGTGACCGCTCAAAGATTACCGTCGAGAAGTGAAGACTCACGTATTTATAATATATATATTTCTTTTTTTATTCCCTTTTATTTATTTTTTGGAAAAAATAGAAATGATAATATAAATATCGATATTTGTGTTTAGTTTTAAAAAGAAGGATAATTATCTTCCAAATTAAGCATTTTTTTTATCATTCTTCGAAATTTAAAATGATTTTATAGTCTGATTATTGATGTTGGATGATATTGAATATAAACTCAAGAATAATTCCAGCTTACCTCTTTTTTTTTTCAAGATTTTATCTTCAATAACTTTCAAAATCAATCCTATTTTGATAGCATATTAAAAACCCTCATAAATCCATAATAAAAAAACAAAAGAATGAGAGGAGAGGAGAGAAAATGGTGAACAATGATTAAATTCTTATTATTATCTCTCTTACCATCTTAAATTTCTAAACCTTGATTAGACTATATACAATATATATATATATATATATATATATATATATATATATATATATATATATATATTAAAAAATACTATATATGTCTAATATTGTGGCAACTCTTGTGTCAATTATCACAATCTGATTCGATAGATAACTAATTTATAAATATTTTTAAAATTTATATAAAAATAAATTTAAATTTATAAGATTAAATATAAAAATGATTTACTAGAGGTTTACATATATAATTTTGTCTTTGTTGCAAAGACCCTAGTAGGCTAATTAAGTTCATCTGACCTAAATTATTGATCAAAGTATTTAAATCAAAATTAATAATAATATATTTATCAAACTTTTATAAGTTAACTTTAAACTTATTAATTTCCGATGTGAGATTAATCGGAGTGTTATAATTTTTTTCACTTAAGGGTTTAACGTTATTGTCAAGGTCTAACATAGCCCGGATCTAACTCTAACATGGTGTATGTGAATTGTAGTTCAATAGTGACCGCACATTGTAATAAGTCATCTCCGATAGTCATTTTCTACTCAAGCCTTCTAATATTAAATGTTACCATCCGAGTTTGATATGATAATTAATCAATTAACTTTATTTAACCTAAATTATTAGTCAAAATATTTAAATTCAATTTTGATAATTAACCAATTGATTGTTAATTATCGAAATGAAGGCTATGAGCTGCATTTGATATAACATATGTCCGGATCGAAGTTCATGTGTCCTTTTGGACTTGGGAAACAAATGGGGAGGACTGATCTATCATGAACAGGTCATGTGGTTGGTGAAATAAGTGCAAGTGCAGCACTCTTGCACATTGACATCAAATGATCGGTGCAAAACTAGCTTGTCATCAGCCTGTAGGAAGTGTTCCGAGCTTGAGGTAGAAAGAACTACAGAACCAATGAATTAGCATTCGATTGTGAGAGAATTTTTTATGATATATGCTACTGATCTCAATCGAATGTTCCAATGTGGTTCAAGTGTGATCGATGTTTTCTGTCTTGATCAATGCTAAGATCCCATCAATCTATTTTATCATTTCTATTGTAACTCTCAATAATTTTTTCTTGATAACCACATCGAAGGAATGTGAAGGCAACCTTCTCTTCAAGATCATCAACAATGACGACAACAACAACAAATGACGTGATGAGATTAGATGGAATCTGACTTTTGCACTTGATTCCTTGATGCAGGAAAACCCAACCAAGTTCATCCAAGGCAGGCATGCATGCATGCAACATCAACGGCAAGCTGTAGGTTGGTGCTTGTGCCCAACGTATTATAATATCCATGTCACTTGAATAGTAGTAGGAGTTGGAGCTCAGAGTTGGAAATGGACGTGGTGGAAAGGGAGGTTTCATGCATGGCGTGCCTGTTCAAACTCGTGTTCTCTGTCTTTCCCTTCGCCTCCATGCCTAGAAGATCACGGAGAAGAGAAAAAGAAGATGGAGACAAGAGATCAGATTATACACACCACAAGGGTTGCACTGTATGTTCTCTTCCACTTTCATGTCTCGCTGTGATCTGTCCCTTTGGATCCATGACTAAAAGACCACAGAGCCAGCAAAAGCAACAGCAGAAGAAGAAGAAGAAGAAGCCAAGAGACCAGTGTTAACATCTGAAGTAAATGACATGGCTTTCTCTTCCTCTTTCACGCTTTTGCTTTGGTGAGGAATCTCATAGCATACGAAGCAAAAGCTGGTGGCTGCACGTTAACTAATAATGACCGCGTGGCAAAACCCACCCTAACCTGCGCGGTCCCACGCTCCCACGCTACAGTGCGCTGCCATCGTAACTATCATGCATCCATTCTTTCGGTCCGGTGCGTCGCGGTGGGCGTAAGAAAGCACATTAGAGAAACCCTTGTCGCCATATAGCTTCAAGAACCGAAGCTTGCAGGCGAGAGGCGAAGCGCTTCCCACCTATCTTCTTTCTTCTTCTTCTTCTTCTCTTAATTTAATGGTGTCCTCTTTTTCTTCCGGTTCACATTCAATTTTCCCGCTCTGATGCTGGCGTGAGATGGCATCGCCGAGTTTGACTCTTCTTTGACTCCTCTTCGCTGGCTGGTTCTGTCGCTCTGGTATCTGCTGTGCTGGCTGTTTAGATAGTTCTGTCGTGTCTGGGAAGCGGTGTTGGCTTGTTGCGAGCCACGGCTTTGCAGCCTTTTCCACTGCCGCGGCTCCTTTTCAGTGACTTTGGAGGGTTTCGGTCGGTGTAAGCGGCGGAGGAGGAGAGAGGTGGAAGACGACGGAGCGATGAATGCCAGAGTCCGGACAGCGTCGCACGATAAAGTAGTCTTCTTTGAAGTCAATCTGTGACTGGTTGCTGTTCTCTTTGAATTCTCTTACTGTTTGCATCGGAAAGTTGGCTCCTTTGCTTGAATCGAGAGTTCTCCGTTCCTTTTTTGAATCCAAAATGGGATCTTTTAAGGCCATTGATTCATACGGTACGGATGCGCCGTGGATTTCGATTCTGAGGCCGGCTGTGAGATTTTGCTATAAAGATTGGTTTTTCTCGAGAATTTTATTCGTCTTCGATTGTGTTTTGGTTTGGATCAGAGATCGACATGGGCTCTGCGTTTTCTTCTGTTACTTCTTCTCCTTCGAGGAATGGAATCATCTCGGATGTGGAAAGAACAGTTGTTTCTTTGATTCACTCAAATCTTAGCCAGCAGGATCAATACTTCCGTTATCTGATTCCACGTGCTTGTTCTTATAAATCTTTTGTTGGTGAAGGAAATGGAGGAGGAGAAGAAGCCCGAGCTGCAGGGGAACAGAAAGGAAGGATTCAGCAGATGCCAGTCTAGAAGACAAAAGAAGATCGCTTTACAACAAGATGTATCAGCTCTTCTTCATACACTTCTAATTCGACTAAATCTGTATCGATCAATTTGCGTTGCGCTAAGTTTCTTCTTCCAATCTTAGGTTGACAAGCTAATGAAGAAGCTTAGACAAGAAGAGAACATCCACAGAGCTTTGGAGAGGGCTTTCACCAGACCCTCGGGCGCACTTCCCCGACTTCCTCCATATCTCCCTTCACATGTAGCTTCTCTTCTGCTTTCATATGTTAAGCCAATCAGTCGAGCTTCTTGAGAAGTTCCATTTATGTTGTTCTTTTCGTTCCCATTAAGACACTTGAGCTTCTGGCCGAAGTAGCAGTCTTGGAAGAAGAAGTGGCTCGTCTTGAAGAACAGGTAGTGAAGTTTCGGCAAGGCCTTTATCAGGAAGCTATCTGCATCTCATCCTCCAAGCAATCCAAGGAAGGTGAATCAAATTTGTGCTTGGATGGTCGCCTCTTCGAATGCTCCAAAACCAGCAAACCTTCAGGCATGGAACGATTTGGGCTTTCCTTCGACCACTCTGCAAACATAAAAAACACACCGGAAAAACAGAGATTTCCTTTAGCCTTTCATGAAGATAAGCGAGGCAAAGAGAATCAATGGATCACTAACTTTAGTAGGAACAGCAAGAGATCTCCGGTAAAGCATGCTGATGCACAGGTAAATTGCTTTCTCCACTTCTAAAGCTCATGCATACAGTAACTGAAGTATTCGGTCAGCCTCGAGCATATGTTAATTGCAATTTGGTCATCAATCTAGACAGAATGTGCAGTGACTGATAGAGAGAGAGACTATGCTTCGGATGAAGTGATTCCAAACAAATTATCCGAGGATATCGTGAAGTGCCTGATGAACATTTTCTTGCGGATGAGTTCAAAGAAGATAGAAGATGGCATGGAGACATCTCCTTCGACTTCAGCTTCTTGTGAAAGATCTGTAGAGGCGGATTTCCAAGATCCTTATGGTATCTGTGCGGAATTCGGGAAAAGGGACATCGGTCCATATAAGAACTTTCGATCGATTGAAGTGAGTTGGAACCATCAAAACCTTACGGCTTCAGCATCTCTCAAGCGCAGGCTAAAGTGAGCTTTGTCTTCTTAATTTGGTTGACTATGCTTTTACGTGGTATGAGGTTCTCATCACAGTCTTGTCTGCTCAACTCCAGAGTTTTACTCAGAAAGCTTGAATCGGTTGACCTATCAGAGCTCACACACCAGCAGAAGCTTGCTTTCTGGATCAACATCTATAACTCATGCATGATGAATGTATGATGTCAACTCAAATCCCTGTTTAGTCTACCACCTAATCTTCTATATCCGAATCAAACTATGAATTGCATGAAATCACTGGAATTACATTCTGTTATGATTGAATTCTGTGTTTTATTTCTTGATCTTAGGCATTTCTTGAGCAAGGCATACCGACAAATCCTGAGATGATTGCTGCATCGATGTCAAAAGTATGATCTTCTCTGCCTCATCTCTAGCTTTCTTTCAGAGATATAGAATGCAGTATGTTTATGAGAAGCTATTTATGTTGAACATATTATGTATGCAATTTCACCATTGCCTTTTCTAATTTCAGGCAGTGATAAATGTGGGTGGCCACTTCCTCAGTGCAATTACCATAGAGCATATCATATTGAGGTTTCCATATTACTGGAAGAATGTAAGGATTTCTCTTATTCAAACTTTTGGAATCTTGTTTATAAACCATTTGAAAATGACCCATTTAATATGCCTAAAGGTCTCTCCTAAAGAACCAAAAAATGGTGCCATGCCAATAAGAGGCATCTTTGGATTGGAGTGGTGGGAACCTCTGGTTACCTTTGCTCTCTCATGTGGCAGTTGGTCATCCCCTGCTGTAAGTTTGATCTTCCATATCTGGTTCAATGAAGAGTGATCTGAAACAAGAGGGGATGCCAAAGTTAGGAATGAAACAGTTTCAGTCTCTTCTACTGTTCATGAGTTTACTGATACTTGTAATTGTCTTTTGTTAAGGTGAGAGTATACACAGCAGCACAAGTGGAGAATGAGTTGGAAACAGCCAAAAGGGATTATTTGCAAGCAGCTGTTGGTATATCCACACCAAACAAGTTGGCAATTCCTAAGCTGCTTGATTGGTACCTACTTGATTTTGCCAAGGATGTGTGGTCACTAATGGACTGGATCTGCTTGCAGCTACCAAGTGAGTTGAGGAGTGAAGCAGCTAAATGCCTTGAGATGGACAGGAGGATTGTTCCACTGGCAATTCAAGTTCTGAGATATGAATTCAGATTCAGGTACATTTTGGCCCCATAAACAACTCTCTCTCTCTCTCTCTCTCTCTCTCTGAAGTTTCAGGGTTTGACTGTACATACACATGTGCAAGGGGAAAAAGAAAAGGATGAATAAGTCTTCAAATAATCTTTCTAACTTCCTGATTCTTCTGCTGGTTTTCATCTGTGTTTATTTATTCATCTGATACATGTATATGCCTTTGTTAAGATACAGCAAAAATGTCACTAGGAAGAGGTAGCATTTTATATCTTAAGAGACATAATTGCAGCCCTCAAATCATAAAAGTGAACTGCTTATGGACAGTCGAAAAGATATATTGAATATTTAATCATGATGTAAAGTAAAGTAAAGTCCCTCAATTTATATTTTTTCCAGTTAATTGATATAAAAGGTATGCCTTTTTTCACATGATGTAACTCAAATTATCTTATAGAACAAAATACAGGAGTAATATTATGTTCAAATGACCAAATAGCTCATACTCAAGAAGTGCATATTGCTAAGTTTTATATCTACATTAAGACTATGCCAACTATCCAAAATTACCTATCAGAACAATGTTACATTGACATTAAACTTTTGGGTGCTTGCCTCACTTTCACCTATGTCAATCTTCTCTCTTTCGAAGATGGTAAAAACATCCAAAAGTAGTGAAAGATTATAATCACTCATCGTAAATGAATAACTTACCTTTGGCTCAATCTTGTACCAATCCTGATCACAGCCACATACATTTCTATGGTTGACATAGTTTACATCCAGACGCTTTGAATTGACTACACATGCAACAAAGGGAAGTCTGGAAATGTAAACCACTAAAATAACATGCAACAACAGGCTGTTTATGAAAATATTGCTATCTGAATTTCTCAATCATCACTACGTCCTAATATCTTCTCCTTGAGATCATCAAGTTTTGAGAAAAAATCATCTCTAGTTTCCTGCACCTCGGTCACAAACAGGCTGATTATTATGCAGAGCATGAAGCTGGAGAAAAACGAAAAGAACTCCAACAGTTAACAAAAGTTCACCTTGAAGATCAGATATCGCGAGCTGAACCAGACTGTGTAGCCAAGGCCAACAACTTCCAGCACCTTGGGGAACTGTTTAAAGAAAAAGCATGTATTGCCATCATTGATCTAATGATAGATTAACTAGTTTGTTCAACAATACTATTAGGCATGTGTTTCTGCAACATAAATGGAAAAGCATACCACAGGGATGGAATCAATGACAGAAATGATTGTTGATGAAATCCACAGTGCAACCAGTGCAACAGCTCCATAGAAGAGGATGGTAGAGTCCACCTGCATCATAAGCAATCACATAATTTAGGAAAGTTATAAACAATCCCAAAAAGTACTAGAGAAAAAAATAATTCCCAAAAAATAGAAGCATTAGGAGAGTTGGTACCGAATGGTAAATTCCAGGTTAGACATATTGATTGCCCATAAGACCAGAAAACCATTCGGTGATAATAAAGCAAATCATCTCTTGTGCAGATTCTTAATTTCTGAAATAAGAATTCTTGACTTCAAAAATTCATATCCCAGATTTGTGTCTGTATAAATAAAATTATATGACAAAAAGCATGCACAACCATCTCCTTATCCAAATGACAGTTCATAATTTTGTTCATTAAATAATATGAATCTCATTGTAGAGCAAGATAGAAGGACATGTTGGACCTTTAAATTCCAGTTCTGAGATAAATATTAACCAGCCATGGAAATGGCACATTCTCTCCATTTTGACCCGACCTAGGTAACAGATAGTCAGGGTCTATAGTATACCACAATGTACAAAGAATTTAAAACCGATGGATTGTACTGATACCATCTCAAAATATCATTTTAGTATAAATGCCTTTGCAAAAGCTATGATAATTGTTGGTAGTTAGTGGGTTTAAGAAAGACGGATCATTAGGCAAACATGGAAGGTTTCAGTAACCAAAAAGTTTTATTGCCATGTTACAAAGTAATAAGGTATTTCTAACATAGCTCTTATTCTAGCCAAGAACAGCACTATGTGCAAGCCAGAAATAAAATGTAAGTCGCATTTGATGATAACAAGAGAAGTACAGAACTCAACGTCAGTAAGCCATCATGATGTATTGTAGTAACTTTGTGATATGCCTCTTGAGATAATCGATTAAGCAAATTTGCAAGTGTGGCTTTTACATTTGACAGCCTTATGTAGGGGAGAAAATGGTGCTCGTTTCCTTTGCAGTTCAGTTCATTTATATCTTCAGTGTCCACAAAAAAGAAGATGATTCAAACAAGTTGGTGCTGAATGGAAAACATAGTACAAAAGTCTACAAAAGCAACACTGAGCAACATGTCCGTGATAAAAGAGGATCAATCAATGTCAGCAAAAGCAGTGAGGACTTGAGCACTGTACCCTATAGAAGTACCAACTAATGATCCAATTTTTGCTTATCTGTAGCCATGGTCAGAACCCTTGACATAAGACTAGTAGATACTTTTTCTTTCTATCAGCTTCAACCTAGAAGGTATGCGTACATAGAACTAATGTTTACCAGAGCCAAGCTAGCATATATACCTAAAATCAGCACCATCAAAGCATTATTCCTCAATCATAAGCATAAAGAAACAAACAATCATGGTACAAGTTCGTGAGAGGACCTGATCATTAAGCTTAGATAAAAGATCATCCACAGCCTCAGCAATCGCTTCACCACCACCATCAGGGTTCTCTTCCCCTGGGGAGGACGAGTTCGTGAAGGAGGATGGTCCTTCGAGTGGCTTCGCCGCAGCATCATCGGCTACGACAGCCGCGGAGGTCTCCTCGCCCGAGACCATGGCCCGCAGCGGGCGAGCACCAGAACGGCCCAATCCTGGATCCAGAACCAAACAAACAAATCCCTAGGGTTTCGATTTGCGACCAAATGGATACCAAACGCCAAGAGAACAACGAATTGAACCCCGAAAAAGAAGGAACAGGACAAGAATCGGATCAAGTACCGGGTTTGGAGATGGGGGAGCGGGAGGCGAGGAGAGACTTTCTGGGGATGGTGAGCAAAAGAGGGGAGGAGGCGGTGAAGGGGCAGCGGTGGTGCGGGAGGCAAAGGAGGCCGTAGGGAGGCGCGAAGAGCTCCATTGCGGATGAGGTTACTGTGTGTTTCGGGCGGTGCCACGGGCGTCTATTTTGCGAATGTTTTGGCTCGGAAGGAAAGAGATACCAAAGAGCGATCTCAGTATTCTTGTCAACCTACGACAACGTAAAAGTTGAGTCAAGTACCCGCCTTCTGATTGGCTGAAAACCTTCGACCCACAGAAAAGACATGCGGGTCCCATGTCTCACGAGACGGGCTAGAAGACGAATCGGACGAACTGCAATGTAAAGTCGGGTGGTGTCGCGGGGAACGTTTAGGCATGGGGCACGTCGGCCCCGCTTTCGTACAGAAGGGAAAGTAGTGGGTCCCATTGGCTCTTACGATCAAGAAGGCGGGTAGATGATCGACTGCTTGACGAGCTAGTAGGAGAAGATTACTTTCGCGTTGTCCGAAACGTTCGAGGACGCGGAAAGCGGTCAGTGGGTACGCTTGTGTGTCACTTACTTTTGGCAAGGTGGTCACTCATCGTACGTGATGTACACGTCCTGACACATCATTATCCCCGTGGACAGGGACCCAGTGAGACATCCCGTTGTGGGACCCGAACACATCTTTGAAGTCAAGCCTGAGCACACCTTTGACCAACTGGCATGGCGGTTCGCATAATTGAAGTCAATTGAAGTCAAAGCTGAACAATAGTTCCCAGTAGTTAACCCGTACGATCCTAAAGCACGTCATAGGAGGAAGGTTCTTTGGTTGGAGTGTGGTTGGCTCTTCCAGCGACCATTCTGTATGATGGCAGATGACGAGAAAGGTTCTTAAACAACCATTCTGTCGGATCCCCAAATGACGAGAAAGATCGGTGATGTGGATCTCAACCCCAACGACCATTCTGTACGATGCAAAAGTTGTCACTGCCATGGTATCAAACCAAGGCGTCTGTATATCTTTCCGTTCCTGCATGAAATGGAAACAAGAACAACAAGTTTGATTCTTTCTTCCACCCGCTGTTCTCGTGGTTGCCACACAGAAGGCTTTTAGAGGCGAAGAGATCATCCTCAGTTGTTTCTACCCTTTCTTTTATGTTGTATTTGCTCTGCCATCGCAATGCTGACATTAATTAATCCTACTGTCGCATTGGAGGGAGCAGTTGACCTCGTTGCAGCTACTGCTCATATCTTATCTATAAAAGTAGACATGGTTCTCTTAAGCATTCCATGATCACCTCAGGACGTACGTGCGTCGACCATGGAAGGAGAGACGGAGATTGGGGAAACAAGTGTGGCGTTGCTGACGAATGGGGAGGTGAAGGACGGGCCGGGATTAGCGAGGAGGGCGTGGGCGGAGTTGAAGAAGCTGTGGGCGATTGTCGGCCCGTCCATAATCGGTAGACTTGCCTTGCAGACCATGTCCGTCATCACGCAAGCCTACGCTGGGCATATCGGTGACCTCGAGCTTGCTTCCTTCGCCATTGCCTTTACTGTCGTCGCATTTTTGGCCTTCGTCTTACTGGTACTATATTCCCCGTGCTAAGAATCATTCGTATCAGATTCAAGCTCTTGCTCCTGCATTGCATGCAGCTTGGCATGGCCAGTGCGTTGGACACTTTATGCGGGCAAGCCTTCGGAGCCAAGCAGTACCACATGCTGGGGGTGTACATGCAGCGATCGATGGTGGTGCTCTTCCTTTGCGCCCTCCTGCTCCTGCCCTTGTACATCTTCGCCACCCCGTTACTGGAGTTACTGGGGCAGTCCAAGGAAATCGCACGGGAAGCCGGATATCTCTCCTTGTGGCTGCTTCCTCTCCACTTCTCCTTTGCAATTCTGTTCCCGCTGCAGAGGTTCCTCCAGTGCCAGCTCAAGAACTCCGTCAACGCCGCCTTCACCGTCCTCGCTCTCCTCGTCCACATCTTCATCAGTTGGCTATTCCTGGGGAAGCTTCAGCTCGGGTTGACGGCGGCGGCGCTGACGCTCGACTTCTCTTGGTGGATGGCGGTGGCGGGTCAGTTTCTGTACGTCGTCTGTGGGGGATGTCCTCGAACTTGGAAGGGATTCTCCTTCGAAGCAATGGCCGGGCTGTGGGAGTACCTCAAACTGTCAGCCTCATCTGGTGTCATGCTATGGTATATAACGAATCTTCGCTTGTTGATTGCTTGAATTCTACTGTTCTTTTAGATCTTTATACTCAACTAGAAAACATAAGTACTGAGATGGATGTTTATTGAGCAGCTTGGAGATTTGGTATTACAGGGTACTTGTTCTACTGGCAGGCAACCTAAAGAACGCTGAAATAGCAGTGGATGCTCTGTCAGTGTGGTGAGAAGCATATGAAATTTGTGTGTTATTTATGACTCTTTAAGCCGGCCAATGCACAGTAACAAAATTGGCAAGATGACTGAAATCTGACTTTGGACCTTCCGTTTTTGGCTGAACAGCATGAACATAAATTCCTGGGAGATGATGATTCCATTAGCTTTCTTTGCTGGCACAGGGTATGTTGTCATACTACAGTCTCTCTCCTGCACCTTGCATAATTCCCTCTCACCTGATTCCGTACTCGCTGATGGTTGGTTTCCGGCGAGAATGAAGAGTTCGGGTAGCTAATGAGCTTGGAGCAGGCAATGGAAAGGGAGCAAGGTTTGCCACCATCGTCTCTGTCACGACATCTCTTCTGGTCCCTAATCATTGGTTTCCACGACAAGATAGCTCTCATCTTCTCGTCGAGTTCTGTTGTGCTTGAAGCCGTTGACAGGCTCAGTATCCTATTGGCATTCACCGTTCTTCTCAACAGTGTTCAACCAGTTATCTCCGGTGAGCTCTGATGATATCTACACTACAGTCTCTTGATTTCCATCAGCAGGGCTGTTGGCATACTGATCGCAGGATATTCTTTCTGAAGGTGTTGCTGTTGGGTCAGGGTGGCAAGCAATGGCGGCGTACGTAAACGTAGGTTCATACTACTTCATTGGAATCCCCATTGGGATCTTTCTAGGATGGGTTCTTAAACTTGGCGTACTGGTACGTTCGACTGTTCTGTTCTCAATTAACGAAGATAGTAAGATGACGAACAACAATAAAACTGTGTTATTGGAACATGAAATCATGCAAAAATACTTACAATATGCGCTTTTGATTCTGTGTTAATGTAGGGGATATGGGCTGGAATGATTGGTGGAACAGGCATTCAGACATTGATCTTGACCATTCTGACCATTCGGTGTGACTGGGATAGAGAGGTAACACAGTCAACCATATTCCTACCCAAAAATTTTACTCTGTTTCTTATAAATCATGTACTTTTCAGGCAATCATAGCAAGGGAGCGTGTGAAGAAATGGTCAGTTCCAGACGAAGAAGAAGAAGCTAAATTCTTGAACCAGACAGGTTGCTTTGGGCAGAAAGATGAACTCAATTATGATGGCCAGTGATTTATGGAGCAAGTTACATTTACTTGGGAATATGCAGCAAATGAAGGGATGGAATAAGCTGTATTGACTTCAAAACAATTAGCTCTTGCATACTAAGCTCTGGCAATGTGCTAAAACATTGAAAGGAACAGCTCCGGAAATATAGCTCTTTCCTTGGCTCGAATCTTGTATTCTTGCAGATAATATAACAGGAGAGTTTCTATGCCTTGAAGTGGATATAATGATTAAGGCAAGTGAGCAATTGCATGCAGCTTTGCCATGTTGCCAAGTTCTCCTCGGTCGAAGAGACTTGATGCACTGTAGAAAGAAGCAATTCACACAACATTGAAAAGGAACCATTGACACTGTGGAAGAGATGGAAGGGTGATGTGAATGGAGACGAGAAAGGGCACGTAACACGAACGTGGCTCGGGTTGAGAGCGGTCAGGTGAGAGGGAGACAGCACACGTGCGAACGTGGCTATCGTGGGAGCAAACCCCCAATGTGGGGCGCCGAGGCATGTACACGGCTTTTGAGGCGAGAAGCGCTCGTGTGGGGCGCCCGCCTCTATATCTCTGGCCTCCTTCGCACCCCCATGCAATGCAATAGGGAGCAGAGGAGAGATCGGGGAGGGATGGGGAGGCCAGAGACGAGGCGAAGCTGGTGCAAGCGGCACCCGAAGCACCCACAGTCGACCGGAGTTTGCCCCTTCTGCCTCCGGGAGAGGCTCTCTCGCCTCTCCCAATGCTCCTCCTCCTCTTCCTCTTTTGTAGCCTACATCTCTTCTCCATGGGCCCATTCATCGTCTTCCTCGTCCAGCTCCGACAACCCATCTTCTTCTGCCTCCTCACCGCCGCGCCACCGTGACGTGAAGAGGGCGAGGGTCTCCTTTCTTCTCAAACGCGACACAGCGGCGAGCAGTGCACTGATGAAGAGCCGGTCCCTGGTGGTCGTCGTCGGAAGTCGTGAGGATGAGGAGAAAGAAAAGGAGACAGATGTAGGTAAAGGAAAACAGAAGGAGAAGGTGGAGAAGAAAGACAAGTTTTGGTCATGGCTGCTCAGTGGTTCAAAGAGGAGACAGAAGAAGGAGGGTAATGGAGACTCGCTGCGCCCACAGACCTTCAAAGAGAAGCCTTCAGCGAAGTGGATCTTATTCTCCTAAAACACAAGTCGTTCTCTACATGTTTGGCTACTACTAGCATTAAGTTCTTTTAATGTCTTCTTCTTGTTGACGTATGCGTTAAATGTTTGCTTGTTATTGTACAGATCAAAGATCGAGTTTCTTTGTCGTTAATTGTTGTTTAGCAGAAGGAAAGCCAATTTTGTTAGATCCGTAGAACACCAAATTGACAAGGGCATCAACAGAAGAACTGGTGTGCACTTATGGCGTGCAAGCACATCGAAGGCCAATCTTTAGGAACAGAGAAATGAACATGAGTTATACTTTCCAACCTTTATATCTTATCAAAATCATAAAAGAATCAAATGTATTCTTATTATCATCGATGATATTATGTGGGTATATATCCAACCAATTAAACGAGTGATATGAATCCGGATACGCCTCACTTGTCTCCATGGTGTAAATTATGAGGCAATTCGGCATCTCGGCATTGTCGACAACGTGGGTCCCATGCGGGTGCGCTCGCATTGGCCACTAAGTTCTTTTAGAAGCATTATTCTTCCCGCTCTTCTTTTATTCTCACTACCTGCGATCACCGGCTGACACTACCTGCTTCGTGATCGGCGCTCATGCGGGTCCCACGTGTGGGACGATGTTTTCTCTGATAACAGGGCAGGTAGGAATGACGGGTAAACGAGAAGGAGCTCGAAAAAAGCGTTCCCTCGTCGTCGCCTCTGTGCCCTGCGCTGTCGACCGACAGGGATACTGCTCCGCATTGGATGGCAATGTTAATTGTCGAAAAGGAAATCGGATATTGATTCGGATCGGAATTCATTTCAGAGACAGATGCACGTTCCAATCGGAATTAATGGTCACATGGGAGTTAATGGAGGAAAATTGCGCCACGCTCCAACTTGTGAAGTAGCAGAACGAGGACAAATCAATGTGATCGATAAAAACCTTCCAATGTGATGGCAATGGCACGACGTCAGATAGAGGAGCAGCAGGAAAACAGACCACCCGCAAGTAGATGGAACAGACCATGCCTTCCCCGTCGAGTGTGCCCCGATGGACTCCCAGTCCGAGCTCAACCCGCCCGCTGCGCTCGCCAGCCAGGCTTGCCGACGTCGACGACGCCGCCTTCTTCCCCTTCGGTGCTTCTTCTTTCACTCCCCCGCACCTCCACTCGATGGGGGAGGTCGAAAATGGCAGGAGCGTGGATCAAGGTGTCTTCCTCACCTGGGAGGATCTGTGGGTCTCTGCGCCGGGCCGCAAGGGAGGGCACGTCTCCATTCTTTGTGGGATCACCGGGTTCGCACGGCCAGGTGAGGTCTTGGCTATAATGGGACCCTCCGGTTGTGGCAAGTCCACACTCCTCGACGCATTAGCAGGTGACACACATACATCCATATGATCCTTCTGTTTCTTTCATCTCCGTTTACATCAATCCTTGTTGCTCAATCAATTTGCAGGAAGACTAGCGTCTAATGTAAGTCAGAAAGGAGACATCTTGATCAATGGCCAGAAGCAGAAACTCGCCTTTGGAACCTCAGTACGAAGCTCTCATCCGACTCCTCCTTGTCCTTCCCTGTTAAATGTTTGTGTAAGGATCATTGGTGTGTTCTTCTCCCTTAGGCTTACGTCACTCAAGATGATGTACTCATGACGACACTGACGGTTCGAGAAGCGGTGTACTACTCGGCGCAGCTGCAGCTGCCGGATTCCATGTCGAGGGCGGAGAAGAGGGCGAGGGCGGAGGCAACGATCCGGGAGATGGGGCTGGAATCAGCCATGGACACGAGAATTGGAGGGTGGGCTTCCAAGGGCATCAGCGGCGGTCAGAAGAGGAGAGTGAGCATCTGCGTCGAGCTCCTCACGCGGCCGCGGCTCCTCTTCCTCGACGAGCCCACAAGCGGGCTCGACAGCGCCGCCTCGTACGTCGTCATGAACCGCATCGCCCGGCTGGCGAGGCGAGAGGCGATGACGGTCGTGGCGGCCATTCATCAGCCGAGCAGCGAGGTGTTCGAGCTCTTCCACGGTCTTGGCCTCCTGGCTTATGGTAGGACAGTCTACTTCGGCCCTCCTCAAATGGCTGATGAGGTAGCTTTCGGGACCAACTCGCCTTGATGAGAATTCGAACGCAATAATAATTAGTTGGATTCAGATTCATCACCATTAAATTTCTTTGATTGAATATGTGATTAAAAATAAATATCTAAATTAGATTTAATACAGATTCAAGTAATTATTTGTAAATTCGACAAGGATATATTTTTTTGATTGAAAAGCACAATAAATTCAACTAAAGAGTTGAAGTTTCATTGGATTCTCGTGAAATTACTCTTATTTTTATTCTCTTCTCATGTGTAATGTTATAAGGTTTAATTGTGACTCATTACATACTATATTTTATCTTTGTAATTAGTTATTTTTAATATTTTAATATTTATATTTTTAAAAATTATATTAATTTTTTATAAAATATTTAATCTCATTTTTTCTCGGATTTTGCTAACGAAAAACATCGCATTTGATACAGTGACAAATCTTATGATATTTTTGTTAGTAATATTAATGACATGAAGAGAAACGATGTTAAATGTTTATATAGGGATCTTAATATAATTTTTAAAAATATAGAGGGACCATAATGCATAACTAATTATAGGGGATAATATATAATTAGTTTATTGAATCGTCTATTTATAAGGATAGATTAATTTCACTTGACAATAAATAAGATTTAGATTTATTTTTTTATTTACTATTTTTTAAATGAACTTTTGCTTTGGTTTCACGTTAGAAATTATGAGTCTCATCCAAATTGATCAAAATTAATATACATTAGATTCTCAATAAAGCTGTGAGTAATATTATTTATAATTATGTTTGAATCGAATATTCGGCTGATTCTTTAGTCCTAAAACGTTGTAGCCAATCAGTGCTATATATCTTTTATGCAGTTTTTTGCTTCGAATGTTTTCCCATGTCCTTCCCCAAGCAATCCTTCGGATCACTACCTGAGGACGATCAACAAAGACTTTGACATGGTCAGTCTCATCTTCCCCAAAGCTTTTGTACATAACTATTCATCGATGCCAAAGCTAACGCCTCGATCACCAGGATAATGAGGACAGTCTTGCGCACAAGTCGAGAAGCGCTTCCCAAGCAATTGAGGTCCTCGTCAGGTCTTACAGCTCTTCAGATATCTCACACGAAGTCACACAACAAATAGCACTGATGCGGAATACGGTAACCATAATGTTGTTGAACGACCAACTATGTTTGCTTGAGGTACATCAAAGGCTTATAGTTCTGTGTGAAGGGAGGATCTTTGGTGAAGAAGAGGAGCCAAGCAAGCTTCTTCACTCAGACGCGCGTCCTCACACGACGATCCTTCGTCAACATGTACAGAGACTTCGGCTATTATTGGTTGCGATTCGCTATCTACATCGCACTTTGCTTGTGTGTGGGCTCCATCTACTACGATGTTGGCCATAGTTTTGGCTCGATTCAGGCATGTAAATCGTATTGTTTCATCCTCTGACCTCTTTAATGCTTGCTTACGTGCTGTTTTGGTTCAGGCGAGGGGTTCCATGCTCATGTTCACAGCGGCTTTCTTGACCTTCATGGCGATTGGAGGTTTCCCATCTTTTGTGGAGGATATGAAGGTTTGTGGAATTTGTCACATACTGATCATGAACTGATTCTTTTCCTTCATCTTTTCCTGTGGTAGAATGATCAGTTGCGAGTACAGACCGATGCTTATTTACCATCCCGAAACCTACCCAGATCTTTGGAAGAGAGAGACTAAATGGGCATTATGGTGCGACGGCGTTCACGATCGCCAACGCGCTTTCTGCAACTCCATATCTGGCTCTCATCTCCGTCGTACCAGGAGCAATGGCGTACTACCTAGTCGGCCTGCAGCGGCCCGCCGACCACTTCGTCTACTTCGCGCTGGTGCTGTTCGTGTGCATGATGGTCGTCGAGGGCCTGATGATGATCGTCGCCAGCCTCGTCCCGGACTTCCTCATGGGCATCATAACCGGAACTGGAATCCAAGGAATCATGATGCTCAACGGCGGCTTCTTCCGGCTGCCACAAGACCTGCCCAAGCCAGTGTGGCGATACCCCATGCACTACATGGCGTTCCACAAGTACGCCAACCAGGGATTCTACAAGAACGAGTTCTTGGGGTTGACTTTTCCTGGAAACGTAGCAGGAGGTTCTCCCATCATCACGGGTGAGGAGATACTGAAAGGTGTTTGGCAGGTGGAGATGGGATACTCCAAGTGGGTTGACCTTGCCATCTTGCTTGCCATGGTGATGCTCTATAGGCTAATGTTCTTGGGTGCGGTTAAGATTGCTGAGAAGGTGAAGCCCAAGATTAATGCTCTATATGTGAGGGCTCCTATGCTATCCATCGATGTCAAAGAGCAATCCTCCTTGGAAATTGAGGCTTCATCTTAAGAAGCTCGGTGGAATAAATTAGCATGTGAGACACCTTAAATCTTTCGCAGGGAAAGTGCAAATAAAAAATACGTAATTTATCATGTCATTTTCCTAACTGCAAATTCCATTTTTCCTAACTGCAAATTCCATACAAATATGGATGTTTTACTTTTAGTAAAAGGAGTAAGAAAAGATAGATTCATTATTAATTTGTTTTTTTTTATAGATGATCGAATTTTAAGCAATATTAATTTCATATGCTATTTTAAACATCAAATACTCTGATTAAACATTATCAGATATATAAAAAAATTAATAAAAATAATTAAAGCAATATCATCTGATGATGAGGAATACACTGTCAACGTGACGTCGACCGGATCCGCGGTTCAACGCCCCCATCCAGTTCGAGAGGGCCGGTCCGAAATAAAAATGAACCGGATCGGACTGGCCTCCGACTCAACTCCACCGGCCCACCCCCAACCATTATCCCCCATCACCGCCACCACCACTCAACCACCACCTCACCCGCCCACTTCCCCATACCCACCCCAATACCGACGGCCTACCACCAAACACAAACCCTAATCCTAATCAAAGTCCTGCATCAGAAGCCATGGCGGCCGCCGGGCCGCCGGCGGCGCCGCCGAGGAGGCCCGTCCCCGGCCAGCCGTGGTCCCACATCGAGACGACCCACCTGATCGACGCCTACGCGGAGCGGTGGTATGCCCTGAAGCGCGGCCAGCTCAAGGCCCAGCAGTGGGAGGAGGTCGCCGCCGCCGTCGCCGCCCGTTGCGGCATCGACGAGCCGTCCAAGACCGGCACCCAATGCCGCCACAAGATCGAGAAGCTCCGCAAGCGTTACCGCGCCGAGCGCCTGCGCCCCGGCTCCTCCGTCTGGCCCTTCTTCAGCCGGATGGACCGCATGGAGTGCGGACCCCTTCCCATCTCCGCCCGACAGCCGGTCCCGCCGCGTCCCGCCTCTGCCCCGTCCACCGACGAGGACGAGGTGGAGGATGAGGAGGAGGAGGAGGAGGAGGACGAGAGGGTGGGGAGCAACACCCGGAGCATCAATGGGATCCTTCGGGAGCCCAACTGGGGGCCATCTAGGGTTCCCAGAAATCACGTCCCCGCGACAAGGAGAGCTTTGGAGATGGAGGAAGGGGAATCCGAGGAGGAAGAATCGGAGGGCGAGGACGCAGGCGGGAACGAGGTCACGTCGCAGGTGGCGGCAGTATTGAGGGGGTTCGGCGACGGCTTGGTGCGGATGGAGAAGAGGAGGATGCAGTTGATGAGGGAGGTGGAGAGGGATTGGATGCAGATGGAGACGAAGAGGGCCGAGATGCTGAGGGAGTCGCAGCGGTGCCTCTTGGACATGATCGCCGACGCTCTTCCTTCATCCAAGAAGGCCAAGAAATCTCACGATCTATAAGCTACTGCAAAAGGTCATGCATCATGTCCTTCCTTCCTTCCTTCCTCTTTTGGTCACTCTATTAACAATAATTACATCTTGGATGGTTTCAAGTTAGTGGGCCTTCCCCCTTCAATTAATTATTCATTTATGCCCATTTTAATCGCCTTTTATTTGATTTTTTTTCCCTTCTACTCCCATTTGTAGGTGGGAAACTCAGGAATTGAGTAACAGTATGCTTTTGTTGTTGCACCTGCGGGATTTGATCTGCTTACTGAGGGCATTTGTAGCATCTTTCTTCCTTCCTAATGCCACCCTTAAACTGATCCTGAAGGGCATGACACTGGATTAGTGAGGAAAAACATATTGCTTGGAAAAAGTTTCAGTAGGTTCAAATATTGCTACAGAAGTTGTTTCTAGTTTTTGCATCTTAGAAGTATACGACGATAAATACATCGCACAAAAGTAAAAAAATTACTATACTAGATGAAAATTTACATTTTCCGAGTGCTGTGTCCATGCCGGGTTGTGTCTTATATAAGATTTTCCATGTCGGTATATCTATATCATGTCATATCTATATCCATGTTTCATAGTGTATCATTGTCCAAAATAAAGCTCTATTTTTTCTTTCTTGTGATTCACAATTTTAACTCGGTGCCCAAAAAGGCTGAGAAAGGTACATTTGAACTAGACCTTCGCATCTAATTTTGCAGTTTCAATTCTTTTTTATGTTCTAGAATATTTTCTTTCTTCATTTGCTTTCTGCTTCTAATTGAGGTCTGAAATTTGGCCCCTTCTATTTTATTTTATATTTTGTTTAAGCTTACATAGCCAATTCTCACCTTGCTGTTTGAGCTTTTTCAGTCTGACCAGTATAAGGGTGTCATCTTTGTGGTGTTGGGCTATCTGAATAAAGGAGTTAGATGGTTCATCGATAAGCTTTGCTGCCTATCAATCACATGGGTGTGCACTAATGACCAACTAATAGATGTTTCAAAAGACTGTCCTAAAGGCTCAGGTGGCAATTGCCAGTTTGCTTAACAGATAATAATCAACTTGTGTTGACTCAATCTGTTATGTTATTTTTTATTTCTTAATTTGCTTCCCCGACATATATTCTATCATTTCCTATTTTGTGACTGTTGTGAGACAAAATGAGCAAGGAAGCGAAGGAACATGTTTTGCCCAACCAGTGGTCTTCAGTGCACCAGAGAAATTCTCAAGTTGTGAAAGTGAACAAAAGGAAATATTTTTTATATCACGAACGACAAGATGATGATTTTGGTTTTCATGTATGGAAAACCATGTGGTGTCTGTGTATGTGGACTATCGACTGATGGTAGAAGACAAGATCCAACATATCAAAGGACAATAGTTTTAGAATCTGTTGGTAGTGTTGTGAGCTCATGGTTTAGTAATTGCTGGAGTCCATCGGGTGGAATGCAAGGGAGTCAACCAGATGAGTGTTACTATGATGAGAAACTTTTCTCATTCTTGCATTTGTGATCTGTTTTCTTTTTTCTTGTTGAAAGAAAAAGGATTAAGATGAGAAAACATCATATAGAATCTATTACTCTGGGGAGAAACCAAATGATGGAATTTTCATCTATGGCTATCAGCATGCAACTGGAGTATCTATCATATACTTCGAAAAAAGCTTATATATTCCATGGTAATTTAACAGATCCGATTGGTACCAATGAATATGAAGAGGGAGAGAGAGAGAGAGAGAGAGAGAGAGGCTCCATGAGTTGATGCAGGCATTACACTGGATTAAGAACTTTGATCTGATTTTTGCCTTTGAATTATTTGAGTGTTCTTCTGATCGACTCTGAGTAAGTATCATTCTAGTCTCAATTCAGAAATTTCTAAGTAGTTTAGACGAGGAGGTTAGTGGAAAGTCTATGTTTTTGGTGTATGAATATGGAAAGATGATGAGAGACGTCTGTTTAGATTAAAATGTCTATGGCTTGTTAAAAAAAAAAATTTCATGGAGGGCAAGGCCTACGAGTCTCTTAGGGTTACAGGTTTACAGCTTCTGAAATCGCATATATCTTTAGGATCATTGTTCTTAGGGGAAGTTAATGTTCTGAAGGTTCTCGTTGGAACCTGCAACCGTAAAATTTCCATACCTTTTAGGACTATTGTTGTTCTTTATAGCACCTGTCCTTTGCTAGAAGAGAAAGAGGTGAGTTATGGGGGCTGCAGCCTCCTGCTTCATTTGACTAGTTCCTTGGAGTCAAATGAAGGCCGACCCTGAACAAGGAGCAGCTGACAATGTGATAGTATCAGCAAACTAATTATTATTTTCAGCCCTGGAGAAGATAAGCCTAAAACAAACACGCAGAAGACTGGGCATGAATGAACAAAGGAAAGAAGCAATGACCTTATGTTTTCTACATCCAAGCGCTGCTTTGATGGTAGGTATCCACCCGCCTCGGCTATACTGTGAAAATTCTTTGACAAGAAAAGCATCGGTGGATGACCACTTCTATTTTATTTTTTCTTGTTATTGCTGTTTCTTCTTTTAAATCCTTTAGCCAATTGTTCATGATAGAAGGATTAACCTTTTTTAAGAAATATATATTTTATCTGGGTATGAAAAATCAAAATTGGAACAACCCTGATATATTGAACTGCTAACAGAATGAACCACACTTGTAGTGCTAAACAACATAGAGACGGCCAAAAAGCGAGCCTTCTTTTTACCTGACTGATTGAAATCTCATCCGGTCTAGCAACTTGACCCCTTGATTTTCTTATTTCTCCTCTGGCCATGGAGGCAAAATCTAGGACTAGTTCCAATCATCCTGGTAGAAAGGAACCTTCAAACATCATCACCGACAATCCTCTACTTTCATATCTTCATTCAATAAACAAATGAGGAAAATTTTAGGGCAATGACTGTGCTGGAAGTTTATTTAGGATGTTATAAAACAAAGTTGAGAGATTAGCCTAAATTTGGAGCTTTCAAATTAGTTACGTTTGGCCCGAGGAAGAAAGTATATACTGCATACGGTAAACGAAGCAAAATGTACCATAAAACATGGATAAAGACTTAAGTAATAGAAAATTGTGTACAATTGATTGAACTACTATTCTGACTTGTGAAATTCAAGCGGTATTATTTTGTGGATATATCACCAATGATAATCTGAGCCCATGATGAACAATACCAGAAGAACGTTAGTTGTTAGTTAGCTTTCTAGTGAAGCTCCTTCTGTAGGTTGCATTTCTATGTTATCTTTGTAAATATAATTAGTCATATAATGCAATAGAAAGATACATGAACAGGCAATTGGCTAAATACATTTTCCATTGTGAGGCTGGAGACAATCTATTATGGGATCCGTTCCATCTTTCTGTTTACCTTGGTCCTAGTCGATGAGACTTTTTCTTATTATTGTTGTTGTCGGTCTTTCCCTTTCATTCAATATTTGATTTCACTTTGTGCAATTTGTCTCATTGATTAACATGTTGCTACAAGGTACATATCATATCATGTCATGGGCATGTGGCATGCATGACCATGCTATATCTAGGTTTTGTTTTTTTGGTTTTATTATACATTCAATTTTAAAAAGTTTGATAAAATACAGTAACTATTAGCTACTTTCATAGGCATGCGATATAAGTTAACATTGTTTTATTTTTTTTA